CTTACAAAAACAATTGGTGAAGCCCAATTGCTTTTGCTTGGTTGAATAACTTTGCTTTTCACCAATTCAGCTATCTGTTGCTTACATTCTTCTTGTTTTGGAGGAGACATTCTATATGGCCTTTGTCTATATGGTGTTGAACCTGGTTCAAGAGTAATTTCCAAGGGTGGTACCTCTGGATTGCCAATATCAAATCTGTCTTCTGCAATAGTTTCTTTATATTTCGCCAGAATTTGGGTAACTTTGTCCTTCATCTCAGCATTTTCTTGTTCAATTGTTGTCTGAAGGGTATGTATTTGACTCTCATTCTTTTTCATAATAAGAGGAACTGGGTAAAATCCTTTGAAAGATAAGTGTTGTGTTCCAATAGGGTAATTCTTTTCTGTACCTGGCTGGAGTATAATCTGTCTCTTGCCAAAGTCAAGGGTAGCTCCATTTTGTTGTAGAAAGTCACACCCAATAATACATTGTTGTGTAATGATTTTGTTGATCAGAAAGCGTTGTTTAATAATCTTTCCATTAAAATAAAGTCTGAGAATGATTTCTCCACATATCTCTATGCTATTTCCTGAAGCATCTCTAGCATTTTTCACAGTTTGTTCTGGGAAGGATGCTTTTCCCTGAACTTGTCTTAATACCTTTTTTGAAATGAAAGATCTGTCACTACCAGAGTCTATCAAGGCATCAAACTTAAAACCAGTATTAGTTTCAAATTGTCCAATAAATGTTGAAGCATTTCGCTCAGATTGTTTGCTTTGTAACAGCTGACAAGTGGATTTGTCACTATCTGAAAAACAGAGAATATCTTGAACTTCATCATTTTCTGACATGCTTTCATTGTCTAATGTTTCTAATTTTTGTAGCTTAGGTTCCTCTTTCAGTATCATCTTTGCTGGTTGATTTTTCTTATAATACCTATTTGTTGTAGTTGGTGCATACTTTTGGACTTTTTGGCTTGAAAACTTTTCTTTAGTAGCATTTTTGTTGTCAGGTACATGCTTTCTATTCCAAAAATTTGGGGTTTCTGTAGAAGCATCTTTTCTGATTACCTGGGTCTTTTTGGTCTCTTTTCTTTGTTGAGTTTCCAATTTTGACACCATTGTGATTGGTTTTCTTTGAGTTAGTTTTAATGAAGTTTCTGCTTGCTTAGCAGCCTCATATAGTTCTGCCAATGTTTGACATTTAGGATGTAAGGTGTACACTAAATGTAGAATATCCTGTTGTAATCCTCTTTGTAAAACTTCCATCAGTTTTATTTCTTTCATAGTTGCAAGCAATTGTGGTTCCATTGGTCTAGGTGGAGAAAACCTCTTTATCAATTTCTTTGCTCTATTAACAAACTGAACCACACTTTCGCCATTCATTTGCTTTAAGTTAAGCAATTTCTCTTGATACTCCAAAGGATCCAGATCAAATTCGTCATGGAGGGCTTTCCATATTTCCTCCACAGTAGGCTCTCCATCCAGAGCCAACACCAAATCCTTTGTAGGACCAGTTAAATAATCTAAAAGATTTGCTTTCACAACATCTTCTCCTATCCAACCATAAGCATAACATGCCTGATTAAAGTCTTCTTTGAATTTTGAACACTCCTTGCTTCCATCATACAACTTGAGAATAGTTCTTTGAGGGCAGTCCCAAGCAGCCCTTAATGCTTGAATTACTGTTGTGATATCAACATTTGGGTTCTGTGCTGGGTGATGTGTTCCACCTCCATGATCTGTTGGAATTGTGATTCGATTTCTTTTCATTTCACTCACCAATCTATCATAGTCTTCAATTAGTCTTTGTTGCCTTTCTGACATTCCTGCTGGCTAAATTGTAATTGTTGGAGTTGCTGGGGTTGAAGGGTTAGAGTCTGTAACTGCCCCAGTGGCATTTCCATTTTCTCCTTCTGCCATATTTACTTTCTCAAAACTTTTGAATAAACCAAAGGAATATCCTGTCGACTGCTCCAAATTTGTACTGCTCTTGCTGGCAAAATCTATGCATTTGCAAGTTATAACAATACTGGTTCTACTCGAACCTTTAAACAAATGTTTAAATTAAAATGGTTTATTCGCAATAATAATACTTCAGCAAGTTACAATATAAGAGTTTGTACTTTGTTGTATTGTAATTGTAGGAATTTCTGGTTCGTCACAACTGTAATTGTCCTTTCCAATCATTTACCAACTTGGCAAAGTACTGGTCCAAATAGAACCTTTAAAGTTCGTCCACAAATAGTCTAACAAAGGCAATTTCTGTAGAAATTAGTTAACAAAACACCAGTATTTCGTCCAAAGAATATGTATTGAGTAAAATGAGCTTCTAGTTCTAAACAAGCTAGTTTAAACAACTAGCTGATGGTTAGAAAACTGAACTATCAACTGTTAATTTCGTAGGGTTTAATATACTCTTTTAAGGGTTGATAGTTCACAAATTTCAATGTTCACAAAAACAAAAGTAACATTTGAAGACAAAGAAAAGTTGTAAATATGGTCATGTTTTTTTTGTTTTCCTCTTCTAAATAATAGTTGAATTTCGAAGGTTGGAGAGTTGCATAAGATGTAACAATTTTAGTAGGACAAGTCCAACAATCAAGAAAACATGTAGATTGTATATTTGACCGTTTTTATATTCTACCTTAATAATGATATTGAATTGATTGAGTTAGTAAATTTAGCATGAGCATATGCAGAGGAAGTATATCTGATTAATGCATGTTAAAAAGAACAGTATTGTGTATACAATACTGTTGAATAGTGAATATAATCTAAACTTAGAATTTAAGCATAATTGATAATTAATTGAACTAGTTTTAGTTCGAAATCATAAATTTATGGATTAATAAATTGTAATATTAATGCTAGGTTGCAAATAGCAAATATTCTTTATATAATTTAATAGGCTTTATTGCTGCATAATGTGCATGCACTGCCCTATGCGAAACTAGGTCACTACTGCTTATCTTTATCAGTGCTATCTGCATAGTACAATACTGGTTCAATACTACTTCTCTATTGTAGACTATAGCTGACGAATGTATGTGTACAGAGTTCGATAGCAGAGTAGATAGTTCGTAAAGGCAGGTTGCCAAATTACCAAACTGTCTTCCAATGTTGAGGAGTAGATGGATGGTTCCAGTGGAGGTTGTTTCCGGATGATTTTCCCAGGTCCTTGGGTCGAGATGGAAGCTGCATGCCAAATGAGAATAGTGAGGATTTATATACTTTGAGGTTTGTCTCTGACATCCAGTCATCACTTTACAGTTGCCAAAATGTATAGTTCATATTTATCTTTAGTAACAGGATGTTACAAGGTTGAACATTTAAGAAGGTTAATTGAATTATAACTTGGCCACACCCTAGGCAAGTTAATTAAATTATAACTTGGCCAAACCTTTATTGGTAATTAAAGATGAGCCTTCAAGCTGAGTAATCAGACTTATGTTTGGCCAATGTTATAGCATTTTCTTGCGTAGGTTTTAAGATGTACATGTATATGTTGCATAAAATAATAGAGTTCAAGCATGTAAAATATAACCAAAGTTGTACACCAGTACCTATCCTAAGGTATAGTAAGCCTCTCAGAGATCAGTCTGGTGGCAATCTAACCAGCCACTTTTCCCCTCTCACTTGATAAAGGAGGAATACCTCCAAAATATTGTGAGTTTTAATCTGGTGACATTTTGTTAGTTGCTAAATACAGGTTCTCTTCACCCTTGTGGAGAATTTGTAAGTGGTTTTGTTGGAGATACAGTTACAGCTTAGGCTGGGGAATTGCTACTCAAGATAGCAACTCCTCAATAGCTACACCAACCCTTAGCCAAAGCTTGGTTATAAGTGTGTGTGCACTTTTGGGATTGCCAGTCTGTACTGATTGTGCTAATCCCTAACCCCAAGACCTAACCTAACCCTACAGCTTAGGCTGGGGAATTGCTACTCAAGATAGCAACTCCTCAATAGCTACACCAACCCTTAGCCAAAGCTTGGTTATAAGTGTGTGTGCACTTTTGGGATTGCCAGTCTGTACTGATTGTGCTAATCCCTAACCCCAAGACCTAACCTAACCCTAACCCGTAAAATAACAATAACAAAATTGTATGGGCAATTTATGTGGAAAAAAATTCCTTACAATTGCTTTCCAAAATATATTATATGACCTATCTATTTTCACAAAATGCCCACAAAAAAAGAAATTTCAAGGCAAGATTTTAGATTGAAAAGTGCTAAGGAAGTGGAAAAGAACAACTGATTTCTACATAAGATAGTTTTATCTGTACAACTTGCCATAATTTCAACATTTTTCTTATGTGTTTTCCTACAAAGATGGCCATCTTTGAAGGCTATTCCACTATTGCCTTTGTACTATGGGAATTTATTTGGCCTTATCATAACCTTAAGAATGATAGGCATGTGTACAATTTGATTCTTATATTGAAAATTATGGCATTGATAAAGAATCTCTCTTTCTTTCATCCAATTCATTGTAGTTTTTTGAATTTTGCTATAAATCAATATTTGATTTACAGGTAGTAGATTTGCTTATAAGAATTATATAAATATTGTATAGGTATTTAGTAAGTTAGTATGAAAAAAAAAAACACTTTAAACAGTGACCTATATTTTTTCAGGGTATGGTAGTGTACAACTTTCATTCTACTTTATTCCTATACTATACTATCATCTATAACTTACTAAATATGTATGGAAGGGAATACATAAACATTTTGGCCCAACACAGACCTTTGTCAGTCATATATATATGGTTTGGCAAAGTTATGGCTGATTAATTTGTCTAGGGTTTTAGCCTTACTTTGGTTGTTGTAACTTTACAAACAGTACAATAAGAGTTTAGTATTCTCTAATTTAATCATGGTCAATGAAATAACAATGTATACAGAGATAATTCTCCAATCAGACTACTGTTCAATTTGAATCATGACAAAAATATTTATATAGGTCAAGGATAAAAAATAAAAAATTCTAAAGATAGAATCTGTTGAATAGACTTTTCACTTTGTACACATACATTAGTCAGCTATATTCTACAATAGAGAAGTAGTATTGAACCAGTATTATACTATGCAGATAGCACTGATAAAGATAAGCAGTAGTGACCTAGTTTCGCATAGGGCAGTGCATACACATTATGCAGCAATAAAACCTATTAAATTATATAAAGAATATTTGCTATTTGCAACCTAGCATTAATATTACAATTTATTAATCCATAAATTTATGATTTTGAACTAAAACTAGTTCAATTAATTATCAATTTTGCTTCAATTCTAAGTTTAGATTATATTGACTATTCAACAGTATTGTATACACAATACTGTTCTTTTTAACATGCATTAATCAGATATACTTCCTCTGCATATGCTGATGCTAAATTTACTAACTCAATCAATTCAATATCATTATTAAGGTAGAATATAAAAATGGTCAAATATACAATCTACATGTTTTCTTGATTGTTGGACTTGTCCTACTAAAATTGTTAAATCTTATGCTGGTGTTTTGTTAATTAATTTCTACCGAAATTGCCTTTGTTAGACTATTTGTGGACGAACTTTATAGGTTCTATTTGAACCAGTACTTTGGCAAGTTGGTAAATGATTGGAAAGGACGATTACAGTTGTGACAAACCAGAAATTCCTACAATTACAATACAACAAAGTACAGTATTCATTTCAATCTGGGGTTTTAAATTCATTAAACTGATTATTTACTCATAATTATTGAATATGTCTCCCAATCCTTTGGATAAAAGTTAACATCATTTGCTTTCATCTTTTCAACAATTAGTTCTCTTTGAGGATCAGTTAGCAGTACATTTAGTACTACTTATCTATTGTAGAATAGAGCTGACAAATGTATTGTTCCTATGTGTACAGAGAAAAGGAGTTTTTAACAAGATTGGTTCTCTTTTTAAAAAGAGTGTTTATTAACTATACATTCTCTTCAACTCTATGTCATGTGTAGGCTTATTCTCAGAGCCATAAGCTTTATACTCTGTACTTTGTTGTATTGTAATTGTTGGAATTTCTGCTTCTATTATAATATTATGTCCTTGGCATAACATACAATCTGTAGCACATTCAAAAAATTTCTTTATTATTGCGAACAATAATAAGATCTGAGAATAAGCCTATACATGACATAGAACTCACTCTATGAGTAATGTCTATTTTAAAAACTAGAGGTCTTTTTGAATAGATAAATTGAAGAGAATGCATAGTCAATAATATATTTTTGGAAAAAACTGGTTTTGCTTGTCCATACAATTAAGACTCTTTTTAAAAAGTGAACCAATCAAAAGAAAAGAATTTCTCTAGGCTAAGAAAAAAATATAGAGTATTTATATATGGTTATATGCATATTAAGAACTACAGACAACAAAATGAGAATAAAGGGGAGAAACTCTTTGATTTTATTGGCAACTCTCTTTCTAGGTAATTTCCACACATTTTTTTGTTAAACAACAATAATTTTAAACCACTTTTCTTTCCTTTCTTTCAGTTGACAAAATTTTTTCTGCTGAATTGGAGGTGAAAGTTCATTACCAACCTGAAGTAAAAGGAGGAAAACCCATTACTGTTACCTTTGGAAAGTCTAAGGGGACACCAACCTGCAAGTTTGTTTTTTAATTAAGATTTTATAAGGGTTAATGTAATACAAGTTGAAAAATTTTTTTTAGGTTAAATGGTAAAAACTATGGTGGAAATCCTATACCTGAAAAAAGTGTAATTATGGATTCCGCATACAAGACAATAACCATACAAGCAGCTGAGATAGGAAGTGTGGATAATGATTTCATGTTTGTTTCTTCAATTAATTGTGTTGATAATAGTGAATCAATATCTTTTGAATTGAGAATATTTATTCTTAAAGAAGGTGAGCAGTGATAGAAAATTCTTGCTTATCCAATACCAGAATGATTAAAAATTATTTTCTACATTCCAGTTCCAAATGATGATGCTACCCATAAAATATGTCTCTTTGAAACATTTATTTCTAATCTGCCACAACCTATCAGAACAGTAGAGATGCTGTGCTATAATTTAGGTGGAACTTGCAGGTGAGAAATGCATATTCATATTTTGACCAGTCTAAATTATTTAACCAAATATTCTCCTAGTGTTTCTGTTGTTGATCCCACTAAGGCATCGGTAGATCTTACTGGCTCACTGTATATTAATGATAATACTGAGCTAATTAAAGTAACTCAATCCAATTCTGCTGATTCAGCACTATTAAAAGTAGATTGTACTCTTATAAACATCCAAACTTCTGTTAATATTCCAGTGTTTTTTCATCCTGGTGCCAATCCATGGGCAATAGCTTCTGGAGATCCTCATTTTGAACAAATTGTATTTGATGGTCTACACTCTATGAATATGCCTATCTGTTATGATGTTCTTGGTACACCTGATAGTTATCTAAAAATAGTTGAGTATTCAAAGATTGGGGTTGAAATTTATGGTCACCTTAAAGATGATTATTACATGCATAGAATTATCATTAAATCTGTTATTGGTAATGTTACTGTATCAATGAATTCTATTTCCATTCATAATAAAACACAAGTGAATTGGATAGAAAATTCAAAAAGAATAATAATCCAATCAAAATTTTTTAACTATGAAATATTTTCCAGTGAAATATTGATAACAATCTTACAGGAAACTCCAATAATAATTAAAATTGAAAAGGCAAGAAATTTTATAGACCAATGGCATTTAGATGTTAGCTTTAAATCTGGTCCAAAGGATTATGTGGAAATGAGTGGACTTTTGGGTCATATTGGCAAAAAAGAATACAAATTCTATTCCAGTGTTCAATCAGACTCTGACATCAGCAATTCAAAGAAAACAACAATTGGAATTGGTAACAATTTGATAATTGCAAGAAAAGTTGAAAGAAATGGAAAATATTGTTGGTTAATGGCTGTTGATGATATTTTGAAACCAATTCATATATCTAATTTCTTTTTCCAAAATATTAATTGATTAATTAGTGTTTGTTTTTTTTTAAAAATTTTATATACTCTTTTCAGGAGAAAAGAGGGGAGATTTAATTATTTATTAAATTTGCAATATTACATGTGTATTAAAGAAGTTAAAGAAATTTTTCTAAAGGAATATGTATTGTACTGTTCTTACCTAACCAATTATGCAATTTATAAAAGAAAATAATTCATTTATGTGGTTTACTTATAATAAAGTACTCAAGCAAATTCAGTATTGTAATAAGCTTTACAAGCTGTATTTTTTTGAATTTTGCTATAAATCAATAATTGATTTACAGGTGGTAGATTTGCTTATAAGAATTATATTTATATTGGTTAGGTATTTAGTAAGTTAGGTTGGGTTTAGGTTGGGTTGTAGGGTTGTACCACTCACAAAACAATTACTGGTCAACTTTATTGTTGTAGTTGTGGGTCACTCTTATGCAGTTGTTTGGGAAAAGGTTAGTTGATACATTTCTCTTTTTGTTGTCAGAACTCCCTTCTTGTATCCTTATTAGGCAAGGGTTCCAATTAGGTTTAGGTGACAATGCCTGTTTAAAGATATGTTGATCCTGACCTCACTTGTTGCAGGTAGGTTAAAAGAGAATGTTTTTGTTTATAAGTAGAAGTTTCTTTGTAAGTTTAAGAAAGTTTTTATTGTAAAATTCAAACAGTTACAACGTTTCGACTGTTCCCAGTCTTCATCAGGTAACTTAATGGGAAAACAAAGAAACAAATTTATATATATACCCACAAGTATGTACAGTGATGCCATCTGTTAAATACAATATTGTCAGATTTGTTGTTGTTAAGCTGACATAGAGCAAAACAATTATTTGTTTTTTGTGTTAAACATTTTAATGTATTTGTAAAAATAATCACATAACACTAAATATATAGTTTTTATTCTTTTCTGATCTTTTTTGGCGATTGCACCTCATCTCCTTCACTGAGGTCATATTCCAGTGGTCTTTTCTTCATTTGCAACATCTGTTGGTCTTTGATAGGAATGAGTTCTTCTTCAGAATCACTGTCTTCCATGGAGGTGATTTCTTCTCTGTTGTTGTTAGTATCCTGTGTGGTTAGGTTGATTTTCATGTCAGGTTTAAATATCATGGTACCTGGACCTTGAATTTTCCAGATTGATATACCATTATCTGCTGTTGGTTTTCTCCTAAGTTCTAAGATTTCTTCCTTCTGTTCTTTTGTGATCAGGTCTAGGTTGCTAACTTGCTTTTTTGCCACTTCCAGGTCTTTGATGAGAGAATTTATTTCTTTCTGCTGTCTGGTGATTTCTGACTTCAACTCATGAACCAGGGTCTCCTCCATAAGGATCCATCTACTGTTTCTATTTGTTAGGATTGAGTAATCAGGACCTCCATCAATGTCATGTGATCATTTTTAACTGAAGTAGTATATCTGAAGATTTTACGATATCATTATATTTTTATGAAAGATAGTTCAGTTAAAAATGATTATTGAGTAAAAACTGTCATCCTGATCATCCCTTACCCAGCCATTTACTGTGGTGAGAATTGTATCATTACTGCTATTCAGGTTCTCTATGTTGTTCACAATAGAGAAATTGTTTGTGGTTTGCTGAAGACTGTTTTTATCTACCACCATGGGGATGGCCAACATTCTAATAGATTCAGACTATTGGTATTATCCTCTTGGGGTGGACCTTCAGTTCCTCCTAACCCTAACCCACTGATCTCCTAACCTAACTATTCAACTCAATTAATTTAAGTATTATATTTGATGATTATTAGTTGTATGGTACACAGTTTTACCTATGTTTTAATGTTTGTGCTTCATTTTCACTTTTCAACAATATTGTATGCACAATATTATTGTAGATCAACAATTTTATTAGTTGTTAAGCCATCACTGCTTGCACTAAAATATATTCTTCTGCACAAACAATTATTATTAATAATTTGTTTGATTTTAAAACAGCAACTGTGCTGACCTTTTGTCTATTTTTGTGGATTGGAATTAATCCAAAATTCCACCAGAAATGTTACATCTCATGCAATTTGCTGACCCACTAAAAATAGGAAAAACAGCTTTCCAGACAAACTGAAAGTAAGAAATATGAGACCATATTTGGACTTTTCCTTTAGCCAAAATGATACATTTGTTTGTGTGAATATTTGTGGTATGTGAACTGTCAACTTTTGGAAGACTATATAAGCCCTGTGAATTTGTCAGTTGGGAGTTCAGTCTTCTAACAGTCAGCTTGGTGTTAAAACTTGCTTGTTTAGAACTAGAAACTCATTTACTCAATAAATATTCTTTGAATGAAATACTGGTGTTTTGTTGTTCAATTTCTTACAAGATTTCATTTATTTAGACTATTTGTGGATGAACTTGAAATGTTCCATTTGTGTGAGTACTTTGGTAAATTGGTAAATGATTGGACAGGACGATTTTGGTTGTGAAGAGCTACAAGTTCCTACAATTACAATACAACAAAGTACATTAATAGAAAATGCTCATTAAGGTGGCAGCTTTTGACAAGGCAACTTTTGTTTTCTGCTACTCCACATGAATAATTTAATAGTATAATTTGGAGACTTTGCCCTGAAGATTTTATTGTTAGATCAACTATTCATTGAAGATTGGTGAAAAATAAAAAGAGAAATATAGGATGAAAACTCTAAGGACAAAATATCCTGTAACTAAGTTATTACCCGAGTCTCTTGAACTGTCAGGATTATTCTGAAAAATCTTAAACCCTAATGTTTCTCTACAGAACTCAACTTTTATAATATACCGAATATCATTATAAATAAGCATAAAACAATGATTTAATGATCATCAAATGCCAGATATTTTCAATATTGAACAATAAACATGGTTCAAAATGTGAATGATCCTCAGTGCACTTGTTTTAGAAACTGTAGGAAAACTTGTCCCTTTTGCTTTTACAAGTTTTACTATAACATCACAGACTTCATCTAATAATATAATTGACATCTATCAATTGCCTTTTACATTATTTTCTATTGTCATTAAAATATAGAATACTTGCCAGGCTAATGTATAGTTATAGACAATTAAAACTGATATAAAATTTCTACTTGGATAATATAGGGCTAATTCTCAAAATTGATTCAATTAGTTAAAGTATGACTTAAAAAATTGAATTTAAAATTAAAGATTTGAATTTTTTTTCTTACACAAATCAAAATATGGTAGTAAAACAACCATATTTTAAATATTTCTTGCTTATAGCTCACATCATCCGCACTAATTGCCAGTTTAATTTATCTTCTATTGAAGAGAATGAAATATTTCAGAGAGAATACTTACTTTTTAATAATGCTACATTTCAAGAATCTTTTGCAATTCAAATAAATTCTTCAATATTTGACTGGTTGAATATTGTAAAAATTAAAATATGTCAGAAATATGGGTTTGATTCAAAATTTTCACAAATTCAATACTATTTGGAAAGGTTAAAATGAAATCTTTGTCAATAGAAAAGAAGGCGCCATGTTGTAAATTGTAAAATTATTATTTTATATCTTTGTTAAAGATATCTAAAAAATACAACAATTTTGTTTTTCTCTCTCTCTCTCTCTGTCTTTCTCTCCTTCTGTGTGTATATGTTTTGCAGTAGAATTGAAAAAGAAGATATTTTTGAAAGAATAATCTTAAAATGTTTTAAAAAGAATTCTTCATGTAAACAAAAAAAAATATTTTTTTTATTCTTAAAAAATTAATTTTATTATTATTTTTTTTTCAAATAATTTAAAAGATTTATTTACAAAAATGATAAATGAAAATCAATTTGAACTTTTTCTAAAATGGAGTAATGACACATTTAGAATTAATTCACCAAAACAAACAAAGCATTTATGTAAAATGAATAAAATAACAGTAAAATTTCAATTTAGTATCAAATTCAATATTAGTGTTAATTTAAAAATTCTAAATGATAACTACTCAATGAATATAACCTATAGTAGGAAGACTCTAAACCAATCAGTAATGTGTAGTTACCTTGATATAAAAGGTTTGGTTTAACTTTTAAAAATAACGCAATGTATCAAAAATTTTATTTTGTTTTAGAATATAAAATAATGAAATATGACAACAAATATGTGAGCAGTTATAACAGATATTTTAATAAAACAACAAGAAAAAGTGGATTTTTAATAAATTCAAATTTATATGGATTATTTTATCTTGTTGCGGATAATGTTGAGCAGAAATCATATCATAAATATTCTCTATTTACATGCAAATTTTACAATATGAATGTTGGACTATCTTTAACTTTTCCTCAGGATATAGAACTAAAACATTGGGATGAAAACCATTATATGTCTGGTATTTTTCTCTTTGGTTGTAAATTACTGAGAGGGAATATTCTTGAAGGCTGCTTCTTTAAAAATTCAACTGAAAAGACACACAGTATAGGCCTGATGCAAAAATGTGAATATCAAGGAGAAGAATACAAAAGTTCTAGTTAGTTATTTGTTGAACAAACTAATTTTTGGGTTTTAGGATAAAAAAAAGGTTATTTTTCAATTATTACAGAAGCAAAGTTTACTTATGTAAATTATTTATCAAATTCAAGTCTATTTTTACAAACAAACCAAACTTTTGACATGATTGGATATCCAATAATTTTACAGAATAGTATTCATTACCTTATTCAAAATTTAAAATATATTGAACTTCAAATAATATGTAAACATTTTGGGTATAAATCTCGAACAATTTATGAACAATCAGAGGAAATGTATTTAACTGAAGAAGCTTATTACTTTTCTATATCACATATTCAATGTAATAATACTCATTCAAGTCTCAATGATTGCATAATAAAACCAAAAATAAGAGGGTTGTAATCCTATTATATAAATACCTGTGTGTTTGTTTACCTTTTGTTTTTTATTTTTAAAAAAATAGAGTAAAACATATAACAAAGAGTAGAGGTTTATTGGTAAAATGTAGGAAAAAAGGTATCTATTAGCAGCAAAAAAAAACAAAAGAAAATAAATGGAATAATCATTCAAATCATTCATTTGTCGTTAAGCAATTAACTGTCCAAAAGACACGACAATTCACTTTGAAAATGTAGCCTATATTGCTTTCAATTCTCACCAGTATAAAACAACTGAACAAATGGAGAAAATTTGCCTTAATAGAAATTTGACATTAACTGACCTTCCAACAACTAAAAAAATCTTTATAGGTTTTTTATTTCATAACATTGAGTATAGTCTTGGCTATAATCATAATGAATATGGAGGAGAAATACTTTCAAGTAAAAATACTTACATATAAATTTAATTTTGAATTTATTCAAGTTAATGATTTAACTTTCTAAGATATAAATTATGTAAAAAGTCATAAAAATCTTGTAACCATGGTTACCAGTAGCAATTATATGTTAAAGATAAAGTTTACTAATCTATATTATTTTGGAAGGTTCACTCTCAAAAAAAATTTACAAACTTTAAAATTCGAGTTTTTCAAAAAGTTTGTTTAAATATTTCTAATCGACGCTTTTGTAAATTTCTTATTGAAAAAATTAGACGCTCGTCATCCTTTTATTTAACTCTAAAAGGATTTAGAAAGGATTTAAGGGATAATTCTTTCATTTGTCATACTTTAGATTGTTAGTTTGATTTTTTATTGAGTAGTTTTTAAGTTTTCTGTTGAACAGTTTTTTTTTTACAGCAAAAGAATTAAGAAATAAACTTCCAAAAAATAATAGAAATTCCTATTGTAATTCAAATTTATATTTTTGTAAAATAAGTGAAATTTGTATAAATTCAATTTATGTTTGTGATGGTAAGAATGATTGTTTGACAAATGAAGATGAAATGAATTGTTTACAACAGCAAACATTTATATGCTTTACCAATAGTCAACAAATTAGTTATACATTAGTCTGTGATTATGTATTGGATTGTTTAGACGGATCTGATGAAGAATTTTGCAGTATTACAGTTGTCTGTTATCTAAAAATTTAAACTTTATCTGTAACATTTTCTTTTTAGATCTTAACGAGTGTAATTCGGACAATTTGGAATTTGATGGAAAAGAGAATTTAGTGGCAAAACCATATAACAAGTTGTGTAAAGAACTCAACTGTTCAGCAGACTATTATCAGTGTTATATTGAAGGAATTTGCATTCCTATTGAAAATGTTTGTGACGGAGTGAATCACTGTCTGTATGGAGATGACGAATACAACTGTGGTAAGATACAGAAAAATAGAGAGAGAGAGAGAGAGAGAGAGAGAGAGAGAGGGACAGAGAAGATAGATTTAACCCTAAATTCCTAACCCTATTTTGTGGAATACAGGCTTTTACAAACCTAAAGGATACTTCAAATGTAGAGATGAACAACTATATCTTCCAGTAAAAAAAATATGCAATGGTATTGTTGAATGTACCTTGGCCTCTGATGAAATATTTTGCCGTACTCAACACAATATTCATAATAAACACTGCAGAATTTATGGCAACTACAACTTGGAATGTATGGATGATACTAATGAAGAAAATCATTTAGTAATAAATCATATATCAAAAGACTTAAAAAGTTTATCAATATCTGGAAAATTTGTTTATAAAAAAGCACTAAATTCATATAAATTAATAAGTTTATCAATTCAAAAAAATACTAATTTACATGAATGGAATATAGAACTCATTGAAAATGTGATAAAATTAATATTAGTTGAAAACAATTTAAATAATTTAAATTTTTTAAAAATTCAAAATTTAAATTTATCTAAAAATAATTTCAAAAATTTACAATTATTTAAATATAATTGTAAAAATTTACTTTATTTAGATATATCATTTTCAAAAATCAAATTTTTGAAAAAAAAATGAGTTTGAAAATTTAAAAAAATTAAAAATTTTAAAAATGATTAATTGTGAAATTAATAAAGTTGAAATGAATTTTTTTTTATTTAATATCAATACAAGAAATTTATTTAAATAAGACAAAAATTCCATTAAAACATTTCACAGTAATGATTCAAAGACTTACAGATATTCAACGCATTGTAAGTGATCAATTTCAAATTTGTTGTTCAATTTCAAAATTACACTTGAGTGAAAAAGTTGAGTGCTTGACTAAAAAACAATTGTATCTAACTTGCAATGACGTCATCCATTTAAATATTTTAAAAGTTATAAGTTGGATTTTGTCAATTTTTGGCATCTGTGGAAACATAATTTGAAAGGTTACCCTCTAATTACTATAGAACATAGGGTCGAGATACTGGTAATAGAGTCTAAGGCTGCCAGTCAGCCATCCTCACCTACCACCGTTAACTCCAAAGCTCCATAGCTCAGCAACCGCTGGGCCGATTTCGTTCAAATTTTGCACAGTTGCTCAGTTCAATTAGATCTAGCACTGTGTAAAATTTCATAACGATCGGAGCAAGTTGAAATTTCAACTTTCGTCAGTGGTCGACTTGCTTTACTGACCACCAAATACGTGATTTGTTGCGAGATAAAGTGTGGGATCAAACCAGTACCTATCCTAAGGTATAGTAAGCCTCTCAGAGATCAGTCTGGTGGCAATCTAACCAGCCACTTTTCCCCTCTCACTTGATAAAGGAGGAATACCTCCGAAATATTGTGAGTTTTAATCTGGTGACATTTTGTTAGTTGCTAAATACAGGTTCTCTTCACCCTTGTGGAGAATTTGTAAGTGGTTTTGTTGGAGATACAGTTACAGCTTAGGCTGGGGAATTGCTACTCAAGATAGCAACTCCTCAATAGCTACACCAACCCTTAGCCAAAGCTTGGTTGTAAGTGTGTGTGCACTTTTGGGATTACCAGTCTGTACTGATTGTGCTAATCCCTAACCCCAAGACCTAACCTTCATCAAGCAAATGTCATTAATCTGCGAAGTGGATTACTTGACCAAAATGTCGCCAGACATTTCTGCTGGAATTTCCATGTCAGCCATAGAAAGCATGGTTGGAGCTAGGTCAGACACTTTACCACCTTCTTTGAATTCAACTGCTTTATCACCAACACAAATAAGAGGTACAGGTAGGGTAGTGTGAGCAGTGTAGATACCATCTGTCTCAGGATGGGATCAACAGAAGTCGCCCAGGGCAGAAGTTGCCCAGGACAGAAGTCGCCCAGAAATAGGCAGAAGTTGCCCAGAACTAAGGCAGAAATCGCCCAGAACTAAAGCAGAAGTCGCCCAGAACTAAAGCAGAAGTCGCCCTGTACATTCAATCAATTATGGAATCCCTCCACATCATTATTAGTTCTAATTGCATTTTGATACACTGACCACTGCTTTGGTGACCAAATATTATCTATAATCCAAGTTCTCTCAAAGTACTTTATTAAGTCACCAAGTTTATTAATGGATTGAAGGTAATCTTTTATTGTTCCAAATTCTATTGGAATTATGTGAGATGGAAGAAATGGTAATGCCATAATCTGTCTCATTTCAAACCATTCTGCCCTTTTTCTTTTGAAATCTGATGAATATCCAAGTTCCTAAAAAGTTAACAACTATAGATTAAATATATATTTTATTTTACTTTTCCACCTGTATTTTTCTATAAACAGCTTGATTCCAATGAAACAAACAACCAGTTAGTGTAACATTTTCCCAATTGTTTAAAACAGCTTTCCAGATAGCTCTTTCAAAATCCATCACAATTTTCTTTGGTGTTTTGAATTCCAAAAGTTCATTTATTGCCTGCAAATGAACTTTATCAATACCAATAATTCTTTAACTATATTTTACAAACCTTAAATAGTATATTGTAAGCTTTCTTCTTCTTTGATGTCATAAATGCAAACATTAAGGGGACCTGTTTCATTTCTCCTTCTTTTTTCAAAAATGAATGCAAAGAAAATAATTGTTTGAAAGGATGTTTTACAATTTTGTAATTGGTCTCTTGGTTTTCTTTCCATCAGCTCCAACAGTTTCTTGCTCTAAGATAGCTCCAACTGCAAAGTCAGATGCATCAGTGGTAAGGTAGAAAGGTTTGTTATAATCAGGTAGCTGTAGGATTGGAGGTGTTATCATTGCTCTCTTGAGGGTATCAAAGGCTTCTTCTGTTTCCTTAGTACATACAAAAAAAAATAAAATTGCTGGGAGTTGATACAATTCTAGAATTGATCTCTCCTCCCCTTGATTAGTATTCAAAACAATCAGAATGACCCTGATGAGTCTTTGCTAAAGGGGAAGACGAAACCATGGCAGGTCAGTTACTCAAAAAATATTTTTCAAAAAATTTTTTACATCATGAACCAGGATATTGTTTTCTCTGTCAAACCTGTGCAGGAGGTCCACACTCTTGCATTCCATTTGGAACTCATGAAAATTGGTGGAAGCTACTCAACTTTTACCAGGACTTAGATCATAGTGTCAAGTTCAACTCTTATTAAAACCTTACACAGAAGTATGGAGAGCCAAGGGGTTTTAAAGGACAGCACTAGTCTGATGGGCAAATCATACTCTGGTTCAAAAAAATTTTTTTCATTCAAAACAAAAAAGCAATAGAAATATACAACAAAGCAAACTCAATCAAACCCATACACACTTATGCATACACTTATCACAAAAATCAACTTCAATAGTTGATATTGCACCCACACATACACATGCAACATTAGAGATACACTTAAAAAATTCCATCTAAATACATGCACCCAATCCTATAGCAAAAAATTAAATGCAAGGTGGGATCCAGTTACAGAATTGATCCTAGCCTCCCCTTCCAGATAGCAGTAAGGGAAGCTATACTCAGAAATGACCCTGATGAGTCTTTGCTAAAGGGGAAGATGAAACCATGGTAGGTCAGTTACTCAAAAAATATTTTTCAAAAAATTTTTTACATCATGAACCAGGATATTGTTTTCTCTGTCAAACCTGTGCAGGAGGTCCACACTCTTGCATTCCATTTGGAACTCCTGAAAATTGGTGGAAGCTACCAACTTTTACCAGGACTTAGATCATAGTGTCAAGTTCAACTTTTATTAAAACCCTAACCCTAATCCTTGTATCACGTCTAATTGACAATTCAGGGTCCCAGTTCTTAAGAGATTAACCTGCCGTCATTCAGAATAGTTATTCTTCAATGTGGAACGCAACCTTCCAAGGGTATCACTCATGGAGAAAGTGAGAGTGCTACTCCAAACCCTAAATTTTTTGACACTTTTTGTAAGTGGAATACATGCAGTTTTAATGTTGTGGCATGTTGTTATATGTTAAATGATTAAATGAAGATAACTATTTAATTGATTTGGGTTTGAAAATAAACAAACATTCTTTACCTGGATCCAATGAAGGTTCAATTGTTACACCAATTTTTGAAAATGTAGTATCCCCTACTGATTGACGACGATCTGTAAGTTCATCAAAGGTTGCTTTGAAAATGTGACATATCTGATTTGAAGTTACAATACTAATTGTACTGTAAAAAAGAAATGATAAAATTATAAGACATTTATTATATTTTATAACTAACTTGCAATCACTGAGCATGCTACAAAGTTTTTTGCAGTCAGCTTCACCTGTATTAAAAACTGTATGATAAGTAAATCCGCCAAGCTGATCAGGATAACTTGTATAGGTAACTTTAAAGAAGGGGAAGGAGACAGACAAAAACAAAGAAATGTTATTAATATATTTATGTACTTTGCTTTTATTGCATTTAGTTATTTACTTGTGTCTCCAAATTGTGGAGTATCTGAAAAAGAAATTATTTATACTTTTATTTTACAAAAAAATCTAACACTTTTTAATTACCACAAACATCTGGTTTTTCATAATAATCATAACCAATGACTTGAGGTAACTGACTTCCTCCTAATCCTGCATGGTCAGTTGAAAGATAACATTTGTTGTTATCCTGTTTATCAACATAGAAACTCCTAAAGTGGAAAAAATGTGTAGATTTTACTCTCCCTCTCTCTCTTTCTATAAACATACTTGCAAAGTTCAAGATAATAGCATAACTTTTTACAATAGTCTACTCCTCTATCATCTATATTATAAATAACAACATATGTGCTTGTTGCTAACTGTTTATCTTCTTGATGAAAGAAATCGCAAACTGTATATTAATAAAAGATAAGGAGAAATATGAATAAATATAAAAATCATAATTTTTACTTGCGCAATCATTATTTCTTATTGTCAAAAGAAATATTGTTATTAATTGAAAAATTAAAATATTCATTATTTTTTTGGAAAATCTAAAGCATATTTGAGATGTATAAGAAAACATTATGTGGTTATATAGGAAATATTTCTATGAATTATTAATATAAAAGTTCAAAATTTTGTTTAGAAAGATTAATAATCAATCTTTCGATTGAATATGTCTTCATTCAATTTATGAAAAATTCATAGGGCTTCCTCAGTTCATTTTTTGTTCCTTATTTCTAAAATGTCAGAAATATAAAAAACATTCTTTCAACAGGAATACATATGGAATATTAATCAATGAGTGTTTCTTTTCTTTGTTCTCTTGTATTGATTTAAACACAGCAAGTAGAATATATGGTATTTTTGGGTTGAGATAAAAAGCATTCACTTAAGATCAGAAAACACTCTCAAAACATACAGCATTCTTAATTATTAATATTTAATAATAATGAATTGCTTCAGTTAACAAGTTAAACATCAGAATATAGAGAGAAACCATAAAGGAAATGGCAGGAAAAATTGGACACAGTAAATTTTGCAAGACCAACTTTCAATAAACAGTCAAAATTGGTTGTCCCCTTTAAAGTAGTTTGTTTAAAGTTTTATAGAAAATAGTCATCAATTAATTACAGAATATAATTGAGATATCATAGTACATGTCTACAACATTGGTTATATTTAACATGCTTGAACTCTATTATTTTATGCAACTTATACATGTACATCTTAAAAATCTATGCAAGAAAATGCTATAACATTGGCCAAAGAGAGGTTTCATTAGTCAGCTTTAAGGCTCATCTTTAATTACCAATAAAGGTTTGGTCAAGTTATAATTTAATTAACTTGCCTAGGGTGTGGCCTAACCCTAACCCCAAGTCCTAACCTAACTCTGCTATTGAACTCTCATATTGTTACTTGCTTAAGTATTATTATTTTGAATAAACCGTTTTAATTTAAACATTTGTTTAAAGGTTCGAGTAGAACCAGTATTGTTATAACTTTCAAGCGCATAGATTTTGCCAAGCAAGAGCAGTACAATAGTTATAAAATAGAAGGATATTGGGAAATTAAGGGTGATGGCAAGAGTTTTGGGAATGCATGGAAAAAGAGTTTGGGCACATACAAAGATAAAAAAATTATACTTGATTTATCAGTGTCGATTCATTACAACTAACACAACTCAAAAATCCTAACCAAAAACACAAGAAGGAAATAAAGATTTTAATACTTGATATATTCCTATCTATAGACTTAAAGTTTTGCATGCAAGTTCAGTATTTATTCATTAATAAATACAAAGGGATAATATCTACTGTTGCCTTATTACCTGACCAGAATGATTTATGAAAAATCATTATACAATTTCAAGAGCCATAAATTTTTATTTTGGAAATATGATACAAAACATGCTCAACACATTGGAGAAAAAATCAACATATCTTATATCTGTCATCAATAACTTATTACTTGCCTTTTCAATTGTTAACAATCAATGGAAGGAAAAGTAAAATATTTACTCAATTGAAAAACTAATTCTAGTCAAATTCTACCATTTTTTACTATACAAAAGATTTTTACCAAAGCTTAGATTTACTTGGTCAAAGGATTTGTACTTTGCTGTATTATAATTGTAGGAATTTCTGCTTCTTCAGAGCAGTACTCGTCCTTTCCAATCATTTATCAATGCACCAAAGTACTCAAACAAATAGAACTTTTCAAGTTCATCCACAAATAGTCTTAATAAATGTAATTTCGGTAGAAATAATTCAACAAAATACCAGTATTTCATTTAAAGAATATCTATTGAGTAAATGAGTTTCTAGTTCTAAACAAATAAGTTTAAACAATCAGTTAACAGTTAAGAACTGAACTGCCAAATTGGAGAAATGTATTTTCTTTTATACATTTCCCAAAGCTTGGGTTCAATTTATCAAAAGATTGCATATGTCACAAAAACATAATCCCTAAACAAAGGCTATATAGTCAGCACATGTTGCCACATAACACATCTGTCCCATTAACATCTGATAATAGTTAAGAAAAACAACTTTGACACATTTCTTTTTAAAGTGCTAAAGTTAACTCTACAAAATAAAAGTCTTTCAAAAGTTCCACCATTATAATTCATACAAAATAGTAGTATTTCTATAGTTGCACCATTCTAATTCCTATAAAATAGAAGTCTTTCTAAGGTACCCTAATATCTAAAGTCTAAGCATTCATATATCATTATATCTTAGTGCACAGGATTACAAAGTTGAAATGTAACAGTCTCATAATGCACATATAACAAAAACAAAAAAAACTATTACATCACTTATGGCTAACATGTGGCAGTGCAAAAACAAGCCTGCCTGTTCCTCATCTGTTTTTGAATAAGATGTAACAAGTTTGATATGCATTTTATCTATATTGTTTGTTAATTCCATAATGGCACCATCTGTTATGGTCAAAGAATCTATTTCCTGCAAAATAAAGGTGTTTCTAAAGTTCTAGAATCTAATTCTACTAATTAAAAGTCTTTCTAAAGCTCCACAATTATAATTGTATGACATAAAAGTGATTCTATAATTCCCCCATTATAATTGCTACAAAATAAAAGCCTTTCTAAAATTCTATAATATCTAAAGTCTAAATATCACAGAGTGTACGACTTTTAATCAATAATAGACCCAGAAAGCATCAAGAAAGCAAAAACACACCCTTGGTAATATGATACAGATATCATAACTCATACTGTGAAAGTCTACAGAAAGTGAAAAATTAAATATGAATGATTTTGGAACTATAATAAAGAAAGGAGTTAAAAATTTAAATATTAATCCTCGTTTTTTCAAAAAAATTTTTGTATAATCAAAGAAGTTATTTCAATTGTTCATGACTAGTAACAAATACATTTTAAATATTCAAATTCTCACCTATTCCTTCCTGCTCATTATTAACACACCAAAGTACTGGTCCTAATAGAACCTAAAGTTTGTCCACAAGTATTAGCAAGTAAATGATATTTGTCCAAAGATTTGTATTTTACCAAATAAGATAGGTATTGACTATTCTGAGCCTTTATCTCTAAAATAAACATTTCATTGCAAATTAAATACAACATGTAAAAATTGACAAGATTGTCTGTCTAGAGAGATTTTCTCTTACCAGTTTATATTTTCTTTCAAATAGATTTACAATCTAGATTGAAAGTTTGAAATATGATAAGCTATTTTGAAAGTAAAGGTTATTTGATATGTTACACAACAATAAATGGTGTCTGGTATCTAATCTAGATTTTGGAATGCATCATGCTAATGTTTGTTCCTAACATTCAACTGATTTTATTCTTTGTGTTTTCTAATTGATTTTCTCTCTTTTATAGTTATTTTGTAAGAAATTCGGATTTAAAAATGTTTTGCTATAAACTATACCTAGATCCTAATTCTTGTATTATGTCTGTTTAAAGCTCCTTTGAGCAGTTTTCTCTATCCAACATTTTTGTTAGTATTCCCAGTTACTTTTATGAGTCACATGGTTGCTTTGCAACCAGACTAAATGAATGATGATTTTTAACATTAAATTTTTTTATTAGTCTCTGCAATAACATTTTGCATGGATTGTTCTACCTACTTAAGTTTGGACAGCTGTTTCAACTATATGTTTCCAAGTATGTCAATACTTCATTTGATGGAATTTTTATTAAAGTATTTTATTAATGATCCACTTATTTTTTCCAACAATCTATAAATTATAGGCTTACTTAAAAACCAATTCAGACTGACAGACCACTTGGTGTTACACTCTCACTAAAAGCTTATATGGTTAAGATTAGTGTTGCTATTAGAAGCAGTTACACTAAAGAAAGGTTTGAGTGTTTTATGGCAGGGTTAGGTTAACTAACCCTAAATACCATGGTCTATTTTCAATCCATGTATGGCTACATCTTTTATAATTTTTATATACAGGGTTAAATTCCCCATTAACAGCCAAATGACCTAAACTAGTTGGCCATAAACCAGATATATATTTGTAGGTTGTTTATATACCAAGTTTACATTTGTGAATCCAGTTGAATACAATCCAACTGAAAAGTAGAAAAAAATCCAAACTATTTTAAGTAAGAAGACTTCAAAATGGCTACTGAGCAATGGAGAAGAATATAAAATAAAGGCAAAATGTTTTTGACCACTTTGTAAAATGTGTAACAAATATTCTTTCAAACATGAACAACTATTACATAGCATTATGTAAAACGTACAATTTTCTTTGATGAGCATCTTTTGATTCTTTCCCAATTCCATTGTGGCTCCGTCTGTTATAGTCAAATTATTCTTATTTAATTGTAATTTGCTGCTTTTAAATGAATCACTAAGCTCAAAATATCTGACAAACAGAGAAAGTTTTAATTTAAGAATTGAAGTACGGAACATAGAAAGATGAACAGAACCAGAATTCTGTAATCCATTAGTGAAGATGATGCCGAATTTTCTGTATTACCACCTGTTTGATTATTTGTTAAATAAATACATAATTTCTAAGTAGAATTCAATTGTTATCTTACAGAATTTTCACAGATACTCTTCATTTTCTTGTACAGTTTCATTAGAAGGTCTACAAGATTCTGGAATGTTATATGTGCAAAAGAACAAATCACATATTTTTTGATATCAATACAGTTTTGCAGATAACTTTGGCATGCTGGAAAAAAAGAGATATAAACCCTAAATTATTGATTGGCGATATATTCAAGTATATTACTTAAGTAACAAAATCGCCTTAGTAAATAATTCAATGTCTAGAAATTCCAAATAAGACAACCGTTCATAATAAGATTTTCCTCCACACTGCACATGTCCTGTCATAATTATGCAGCATTGTGTTGGCATGAAACCATTTTCCATCATGTTAATCAAAGTTATTGCTCATTTTTTCATTGCATTCCCTAACCAAACTTGTACAAC